GGTGGGAGTTTGTAATAGCCGCCAAGATGACTGGGATGTCTTACTCCCTCCACTGTTGATGACCTATAGAACAGCAGAGCATGAAGCCACTGGATACATTCCAGTAAAGCTGATGTTTGGTCGGGAACATTGGTTGCCAGTGGATCTGATAACAGTACGCCCACCTTACGAAGAGTTGCCTGAAAATGTGCCAGAGTTCGTGAAAGTGTTATCTAAAAGGATGGATGATATTCATCATCAAGTGCATTCAAACTTGAAAACGTCTGCTGATTCCATGAAGCTATGTTATGATAGGAGATCTACTGAAGTCAGCTTTGTAACAGGAGACAATGTGTCGTTGTATAATCCCAGGAAAACCAACGGGAAGTCTTTTAAGTTGTCTTCTCCATGGGAAGGCCCATATGACATAATGGATCATCTCTCAGATGTGACTTTCCGAATAAAATGTGGCCGGTGAGGTAAGCCAAAGATGGTGCATGCCAACAGGCTTTGGCATTATCATGGTCCAGGACATTTCAGTTGGAACGAAGGGAACAACAGAACAAATGACGCTGCTGAAGATGTATCACCTGAAAAAGCCACTGTCGAAGAAGAAACTCTACCCGGTTTTGAGAAGGAAAACAGTGAAGCCGTTAATGAAGTTACTACCACTGATGTGACTGTTACCGATAATGGGACATTTCCTGATGGAGCAGATGAACCCCACGTGAAGCAGAAGCCAATGAAATGGAGACCAGTACGGCAGAAGATACGTCCTGTAAAATTAAGAGACTTTGTTGAATTTTAATTTTGTGTTTGTAAATTTTGTACATTTAATTAAGTTATTGTTAATTATCTATTGGCTAAATGTAAGTGGCTATTGTTCAGGATGAACAATATTAAGGAAGGGGCAGTGTTACGACAGCGGAGCCGCATGACTCTGGGAGCATGCGCGCTGGAGTTTCTCGAAGGATCATGAATTATCGGGTAACCCCGCGAATGTCCGAGTGTTCGCTAGACGCCCTCTTTTTTAGTATATAATCCTGGCTAGAAATACCAGCGGAATCGGAGATATAGATAATTGAGTCAAGTGAACAGTAGGCACCGTAAGTAATGTGTGTGAATCACAGTGATTTATAGCGTGTGTTATAAAAGTAGTTAAGTTTAACGTACTGATTGGAAATTCTGTGTATCACAAAGTTTGTATCGAGAAAGAATAAACTAGTTTTAATCAAAAAAGGACTTGTATCGCTGAAGTTTCTCGGAAAGAATTTCTACCGGAAATTATCAAACAAGCAGATAGCAACAAAGTGTTTCTCTAGTAGGCAGTTTCCGCCCATTTCACGGTCAACGCAATATGAGTAATCTGCTTAAAGTAGAAGTTAAAAATATTAGCATTTTTGTTAAGTCCTTAATATTTCGTCAGAACTAATGTTTCTTACATAATATATTGATATAAGTGTTTATTACTATTCATTTGCTTACTATTAACATCGTCTAGAGTTCAGGTATCATTACTGTAAGATATTATATATTTTGAAATTTATTGCGATCAGGAGTGCCTTCTCTGTTACAAAGACTGGCGACATTGGCTCTCCATCTTTTTCTATCTCTGCTGAGATGATTCATTTCTAAGGTCGAAAATCTGGCCATTCTGTTGTTTTGTGTAACCACTTGTGTCTTTGCCTTTACATGGCCTTTTCCTCCTCTGTATTCCATCAGCATTTATTAAATATCTTATTTCTGTGTTCTGTACGACTCGCAATATTTCCTTGTTGTATATATGCTAAACACTGCTTTATTAGTCTTTCTTTCAGTTCGTTTAATCCGCGACATCTTTCATACAAACCATGATTCCCCTTCTGATACAGTCTGAGATGACTTAAAATCAATTTAAATTTTCCTAAATTCCCTTCATACACATAAATTGTATTGTATGGCGATAGCGCATATTTTCAATACAGTTTTTTTTAAACCTTGTTTATTTGTTTTAGAACTTAACGCAAAGGTACTACACCAGAACCATCTGCGCAAATTTAGGACCGGATTAAGACCACAGTTTTGAATTTAGTGGCTTAAGAGAGGGAAGCTAACAAACGCACCTGCCATCAGCTCATGGATTATCTTTATTTGACCGAATAGTGGGATTTGTCTGCCATTCTTATTATATAGCGCACCTACACACCAAAGTGTGACAACGGGACGCGAGCCACGGACCCTCAGACTCACAGTCAGTTCACGTTAACAAAAGGCCACTGTAAATCTTCCTTGGAAAGAAATAACTAAAATGTCATGCACAAGAATAGTCCCTATTTCATTAAAAATGAATTGGTATATAAATATATATATATATATATATAGCTCTCAACACCAGGTGACACTCGTGAATGAGATTGTATTCGTGATGGATTGTTATACAAGAAGTGTAGGCTTATAATGGTTTGTGATGGGGCTATGAAAGTAGACTAAGTTATTAAAGTTGACTTGTTGTAATTTTCAAGTTTTACTTTTGCTGCCTTTGTATAGAAGTAGCCTTAAAAATTCGTACAATAGGCAGCAAGTTCTGTTTTTCAACTTATAACAACATTGAATGTCACTGAGTGTCTTATTCGGTCATTGAACGATTGAGCCGTAGTCACATTACAGTTATTAATATTAGTTTTCGGTTGACAGCCGTGAAACAAAAGTAAATGTATCAGTGTATGTTATAACTTTTAAGTATTATAGTATATCGTATTAAACATGTTTCTAGTAGTAAAGTATTAGTTCTGTTCTTATCTTGGCAGCAACCACTACCACTACGCAGTAGTACTACTCTACCCCAGTATATAATTATAGTAGTAGTGTTAGTAACAACAATTAAGCTTATATTCAAGTGGAAATAAAATATTGTTACAAATTGAAACCAAGCATAATAATTAATATAAAGCAGAGACGAGTTGCATGAAGTTCTGAAAATGACTGATTCAGGAGATTTGGAATACATCTATGATGATGCAGATAGCCACACAAGTGAGATTGCAGGTATGTCTTGGCGTTCTCTCTGCCAGTTGTTTATTTTTTACAATTCATATAAATGTAAAGTAACTTTCACTTTCAGTTTATTCTACTATAATTTGTATTATGTTAGCACCAGTGTTTTTCTGATGCAGCTACTTGGAATTTTAAGCAGTACCATAACATTACCAATGGACAGTAAGTAACTATTTGGTTTTTCAAGGCTGTCTTTGGTCTCACCCATCCTTCATATTTCAGAAATAATCAATTTCCCTCATAAACTTCTGTAAAGTGCCAGCTTCCACTCCTGTCGATGGAAACTCCTTCTATAAGTCAGCCACCCAATTAGAAAAACAAGACTGTCTTACGTGCACTCTAGACTGTATTTTCTAAGTCTTTACCTTATGTCCTCTTATACTGTTGTTTTTTAGAATAAAGTGTAAAGAAATCATAGGCCTTTTTTTTTATTGATAGTATAAATAATCATGTAAACTTTAGTTCACCTTCTAACATTCTTTTCTTAAGAGGGATAAGTTAAGGGATATTAACCCTAAGAATTAAATCCACCATCCCTGGTTTCATCCTAATAACCATTTGAACATTTTCCAGTAATTCTTAGATAGAAAGAACAAAACTGTACACAGTATTCCAAATGAAACCTAACTAGTGATATTTATAGAGAGTTACATCTTTTATCTTGTTCATAATTATACCATAAAATTCTGTTGGTTATATTAGTAGTAACAGAGCATTACTCTGATGGTTTGTCTTGTAATATAATGTTGCTGTATGATTATCAAACGTAGCATCAAGTATATGTACATAACCAACATGTATTTTTTTATATTTTTACTTGAAATGGAAAAATAACTTTAATATATAACATGTTTGTAAACTATATGTGAACATTGTATTTCACAGACACACATATAGATAGATAGATATGGATTACCTGTTAAATAAAATGCTTTCCAACAAAATATAAACTAGTAGTTATGGTGACATCATCAGTAAATTTATTCAAACTAGTGCTATTAAAGGTTCGAACCTTTGTTTGATAATGTGTTTCAAACCTTTGAAGGTTAGAATATATCCTTTGTTACAGTTCTACCTACATGCATAGTCCTTTGGGGCATTAGTTTTAAAATAATAGGGTTTAATGCATGCATAACATCAATTCATCCTTAACAAGAGTATTACATGAACTTGTTACATTTTCATTGAACCAAAAGATATTTGATGCTGTTTCCACAACAGAATTTTTCTTTCCATTATAAATTTTGTTTTATCAGTTGTTAAAAAATAGTAAACATTGTTTCATGACATTACTCTGTTACAGTTATAATACCTGATTTTGTTGTGTCAGGTGTGTCTGTACCTATGTGTGTAGTGTATAGCATTTTTGTCTGGGTGTGGACTAGTAGTTAATGTGCCACTCTGTGGATCGGGAGGTCTAAGAATCTTGTGATGTGTTACGGAACACACTCCCACACTGTGGGTGTGCTATAAGAGTGAAAGCCATGCCATCATAGGTTGTAGGTTTTGCCCTCCCTTTAGACAGTAGTTTAAAATTAGGAATGATTATACATAAACCAGTCTGTTTATCCTATGTGTCACATAAAATTTTCTTTATATATATATATATATATAATAATGTACATTTCTTGTTGAATAAATTAATTGTTATATACACATTAAAATAATATGTTTCTGTATAATATAAAATGTTTATATTTGATTGGGCAGGGGAAATAAAGAAACTGAGTATCATATGCTCATCACGCTATATACAGAAGATTATTTTTCTAATATGTTATTACTGCTAATCTGTAAGAAACTAAAAATGAAACTTGTCAGATTATTTATTCATTCTTCCTACAAGGTTAGTTACAGGGTTTTTAAGCATCAAAATGTAATGTTCCACATATATATATACAGTATTACAGCACAACAGCTCCATGTCATAATCTCTTACATTAACTAGTTTAATATATGAATGTTTTGTACTAAACAAAAATGAGGGGGGCAACACAATTTTTTACATACAACCCCATGTGTTTACTGCAGTCAACTTTCTCCACAAGTAAAACTAGTGACAATTTCTACAGTAGATCTATCCGTAAGTAAAGCTGGATGATTAGCTAGATTAAGCAATTATCTATGAGCATTGATTACATTATTAGTGTCATGAAAGTAATTAACTAAACTTTATCTTGTGTTGCAAGTTGTAAACTGTTAAAAACTAGCCTATGTGGAATACTTGACATTGCAAATTATTGGGAGATAGCGGCTGATCTTGGAGACATGAGAGAATACCCAGAAGTGGTTGCTAGAACTGGACAAAGACCTGACTTGATCCTCTCCACTGACAGTGTCACGAGTACAAGCCGGTGCTGTACAAGGAAATCCGAGTCAGGGCTAGAAATGGGAGTTACTTGGTGCATCTGTTTACAACTTACTGATGCAATTCTGACTTTCAAATCAGAGGAGATCAAAGACTCAAAAAATCGGCAGAGACAGCAGAGAAGGTCTCGTGTTGGATATGGACAAAGAGAAATGATAAAAACTGAAAAGTATAGTTATAAAGAAAAGAAATCCTATAAATTCCAATGGGAATTGTGGCTGAGAGGTTAAAAGTATGGGCAGGAATGGTTTCAGATATCTAGTTACTCATAAGACCAGGGATCATAACCCAATTCAGGACGAAATCAACAGGGTAACACTCAACTGATCTTTGAGTGTGATCCAGGAGTGTAAGGAAGTTAAGAGGAAATACACTTGATTGAAGGTGGCTCTCTTCCTCTGAAGTTTTGCTGCTGAAAATGCTCATTACAAATTTCTCTTGCCTCAAACTTTATCTAAAACAACATTCACAATCTTATTTCTGTTACCTTAATAATCATGTGTGCATATGAGATACTCACCACATCATCAGAAAACTTTTCTGTAATTCAACTCAATATCTGTTAATATTTTATTTTTTTCAGAATTGTCTGGTTTATATTAACATTCAAATAAATGTTTTCGTTAAAACAAACTCATTTGTAAGTTATCAACGTTTCATTGTGCGTACTGGTTAAAATGCTTAATGTCGTCAGATACAAGATTTTGTAAGTGGTTTTAATTGCAGACTCACAGTAAGAATTGTGCACATTTCTGAGATTATGTGTATAGTAGGAAACTCATTTTTGTTGTAGTTAAAATGACTGATTATACAATGAAATGTTATATTTATACAATGTACATGACAAATTATGTATTTCAAAAAAATTGTTTTAGTTTACATTTTTAATTTCTTACTGTGTTATTGTTGTTAACAAACTTTCAAAGCAATATACATTTCTGTAATGGTTGAGGATTAACTTGTGTTTCATGCTTTTTCATATCTTGTGCAACTGTTGATAGTGGCATTGCTTTTACATCTTTATTACTTTTTAACATTATTGTGTTTTTTTTTATTCTTAGAACTTTATAGCTACACAGAAGAGTCTGAATTTTTGCAAAATAAAAAAGCATTTGAGGATTTGATGGACGAATATGGTAAGCACTGGTTCCTGTTAAGTGTGTATATAAGTATGTATGCAATAATATATAGTTTATGTTAACATTTGTACATTTTAAAATCATCTTTCATTTTTCAATTTCAACTTCTGCTAGATTTTTAATTAGATAATTTAAAAATATATTAAAGCTGAACAAGAAATATAAATCATCACAATTTGGAGGATGAAAACCATGAATTTGGTTTAAATGTGTTTAAACATATTAAAATGTCTTCTTAGCACTGGTCAACAGTATGTAGCCGAGCTAATATACCATTGGAAAACAAACTGTATGTAGCCGAGCTAATATACCATTGGAAAACAGAGCATTGATATGAAATCAAAACAGGCCAGATTTCTTGTTAGCTTAAAATATTCTTAAATACTGTTTTAAAGTTATTATAAAATATGTTGAGAATATATAAATAATAGACTTTCAAGTTAGGTAGACTTGCCTGTGAAATACTGAAAGTGTACAAAAGCCGTACTTTCATACCACCATTTAGATCTTCCTGTCAACAGTCATTGGTTTGATGTTTTGAATCAACTATTTCTACCATTTTCAGAATTTCTGTGCCTTCATCGGAGGCCTTACTTGTACATTTCTCCAGTAGCGTGCAGCGTAATATTGTGGATGCTCTCTAAGCATTGATAATTCAATTGTATGCCGTTGTTCCTGGTGGGTATATCAATTTGTGAAACAATCATTACTTTCTTTTATTTTTGGTAAAAGTCATTTTTTGCTCAGACTTAATTGCCTTCAGTGTCTACAGAACTTGTTTCATATGCTACTGTGCTAGCCCCGGTACTTTGACCCTTCTGCTGGTCTAATTTTAATATTTCTCGGGTATATTCTATATTTTCGATAATAAACACATTTCAGTCATGCTCGAGAGTGCTCTTGTCATTTGAAATTATTTCCATTTTTGAATCTTTTTTTTTTCCACGTACTGATGTTTTTCTATTGCAGATATTTTTCACAACTAGTAGTATGTTCATACATTTCATATTCTCCTCTTCCTTTTCATATTTTTTACCCTCACTTTGGTTATTTGGGTGGGGATGGGTCTTCCACTTGATTTTTTTACTTTCATCCGTTATCAGTTTTCTGCCTTTCATGCTAAGATCCAGCTTGTTTTCAAACATTCTTTTTCTTCAGTATTATTGGTTGTTTTTGTTTTCTTGATTATTTTACTAAGGATCATATTTACTTTGACATCTTTATTACCTGTAGGTCTTACTATTATTGGTTCTGTTACCATGCAATTTTCATGTTCCTTTGACAGTTTTGCCCATCGGGCTTTGTTGCAAAGTACTGCTCTATTAAGCAGATGGCCTCCGTATATAAACCCGATTTATTAATTTCATTGTAATTTCGATTAATCAGTTAATTTACTACACTAATTTGTGTATTTGCTCTTCATAGGTAATTAATTATGTTGCCCAGCTTTACCTGTTTCTACTCAATATCTCATTCATTTGAGATTTCATATGAACTCTTCACCTGTCTCCTTTGGCCTTTCAATCCCTCTGATTTTGGGTGCATATACTTTTCCATCTGCCAAACACATATCCTCTCTGATTTCGGAATAATGACTCCTCTTTAGTGGCAATTCCCATGGGCTGTGCTACTCCATATACTGTAAATGGAATCTTGCCCCTATATTTATCTTCAGAACTAGAATAACGTGTTGGGGACTATTTTCTTTAGGGTCTGTAATCTTCTCAGATATCCCATTGTCACTTTATTTTGTTATGTAAGAGATTTCAACTGCTCAACATGAATGTCAGGAGTTCCTGCTCTTATTATGCCACCACTGTGTTCTTGTGCTCACAGAAACTGTGGTAACATATATCAACAAGCAGGGTGAGATTCAACCTCCCAGCCTTTGTTTACTTCTATATCTTTTTCGCAACATTCAAATCATGACTTTCTTTGAAATGGTATTTCAGTGCATGATGTATTTGCGACGGCAATGTATTATCTTCTGATGCTTTGCTGGTTGCCAAGTCCAGCTTTTAGAGCAGTAAATGCTTTGAGCTTGTCTAGGGAGAATGTTTACCAACATGCTTCACTCTTCTTCATCTTCTTCCTTAGGTACTAGCCAAGATCAGTTGGTTCCATTGACCACTTCTGATTGCCCTATACTAGCCTGCTCCACCATGGTTTCCACTCCTCTTTTCTGTGTCAGAGGGATCCTATTCCATTACTTTGGTACATTTTCCACAACAGTTTTGTTTACAACTTCGTGGCTGGTTGGTGTGTCATTAACAAAGAACTGAGTTCACATCCTTTCTTGGGTATCTCAATTATTACCATATTCCTGAAGATGTTACTCCTTGGAATTTTATGAATCCCATTTTCAGTTTGATGCATGCAGAATTTGTTATTGTTTTTTTCTTGTCTTTCTCCAACTTGTCTACAGATTGCCTCATTATTTTTCATGTACCTCTTCCATTACTGAGCTTGTCTGCTTCCAGTGCAAGCTACAGGACTGCTCTCTCAGCCACTTTCAGTTGTCACAGAAGTTATTAGCCTGAGTTGTTCCCTTCTTTTTTCATGTTTTAAAAATTTTAGTACAACTCCCATCTGTACCTAAACATTGTTTTTAGTGGGACTTAAGTTGCTTGGCTTCTCCTTTCGAACCCTTAGCAATGTGTTCTTTTTACCATCTTTCCCTTAAAGATATAAAATCACTAAAGTTTAAAAAATTAGGAGTAAAGCTTCACAATGAGCATACTGAGAGTCATAAATTTTTTTCAGGAAAATTAGGACAAAGCAAAGGGTGATTAACCATAGCATTCCCAAAACTTTTCTCTTTTTTTTTCTCTTTCTTTCAACTGTGTGAGAATTAGTGTCTTTTTTTCCAGTTTGTTGATATTTTTTCTGAGTGGATCCAACACTAAATTGGGCATTCTGAATTAGGATTCACAAAAGTGTTGTAGATCCTCTGACACTTGCACAATAAGTCAGTGGGAGAATAGAGAGTAATTGGGTAAGTGATGCATGAAGACATTAGGAAATTTTCAGTCATCTTTTGTTAGTAGCAGGAGTTCAAACTCAACATGGAAAGGCTTTCTAAATTTCAAAGATACCTTTCTGAAATTTATTAAAGCATACTGGAAACAAGTGAGTGTAGGAAAACATGCAGTAGGCAAGTTTGTTATATACTTAGGCTAAAATTACATGTATTTTCAGAGGTAGTTGTTACATGTTAATACTTATAAGAATCATTATTAATATTTTTTATCAAATTAAAGATTTGAGGCACAAAACTCCATTTTGCTGTAGGGAGCTGAAATTATTTAAATATTTTGTGCATTTTTACAAAATTTTGTAATTTTAAGCTCTTTGTAAGCATGAGGGATGAAATGATACAGTTGAGATACAATACGTATTTCAATATTCAGCTTACTGTATGATATATAACTTGATGCGTTCCTACCAATACCAAATGCTACTATTCATATACGTGTCTATCAAATGCTAGAAAAAGATGATTAATTTTTGTGACGAAACAACAACACAGTCATACATCTTCAACTGGATAGTTTTTAATACTTTTTTATGACAATCATTTGTAACACTCCTTGTTGGGTCCTACTTGGGTAGCTCGGCCTTGGTTTCCTCTTCTCCAACAGCTGGTGTCCAGGTCATCTTTTCCTCTGTTTCCATCTCTGTCACTCTTTACAATCACCAGGTGGATTCATCAACTCATCTGGGTTGTATATTCCTCCCTAAATGGAAATAAACATATGCTGCATCATGTCTCATCACATCAAATATGCCATTGATTCAATCTCTAGCCTTGCACTTTCAATGACCCTTGGACCAAATCCTCCAAGTCCAAACGTAAACTATGCCCAATACCTTTGTCTCCCATTGCCTTCTACATTTTGCCTCAGAATATTGCCTATTTCCAGTCATCATTGTCCATTGTACTTGCCACCTGGTGGATGCTTCTTTTACTTCGTTACTCATTTCTACTCCTATACAATTTCTTTATCGGAACCCACCCAGTGGCAGGTGTTGCCTCGTAGGGTAAATTTACTTTTCTAAACCAACATCAAATCATGCCCACTGTTGAGATGAGGTTATATATATATATTTCATTTTCCATTCCAAACTGTTCCTTGTATGGACTATCATGGAAAAAGCCAGTGCTGGGGTAGTGTTTGCTCACTTTCCTGGCTCACACATGGCTAGCTTTTCAAATCAGGTGTCACAGTAACCCACTGCAATTTCTCCCGGAGGAGAACTTTGCGCCGGTTAGGTCTGATCTGGTATGAGCACCTTTCTGGTGTCTCCCCAACATGTATTCCTCCCTTCTAGGGTGGTCAGTTTGGAGAGTTTGTCACCAGTTGTATGATCCTTCTAGAAAAACTCCTTGTGAACAGTGCAGTGGGAAGTGGGACAGGAGTGTCCATGTCAGTGTAGTGCAGATCACCTCCTTTTATATAGTATGCCAACTTCCCAGTGATTTGACCATACATCCTCATTCTCTTCCCATTCTTCTCCATTCCTGTAATGTATGGTGAGTCAATGATGCAACAAAACAAATACCAAGCTATATGATCTGATCCTAGCCACACTACACCTCATATTCAACTGTATGGTTGTGTGCAACTGCTCATTTGGTCCTATACATTTCCATCCATCCCTGTGACTCATTGGCTTTGCCTTCCTCCTTTCATACTTCCATATGGGTGAAGAGTATATCCTGCATGAGATGGATGTGATCTCCCACAAGTGTTGTCCCTCCAGTAAGCCCCCACTATAGGTTGTCACACTCATCTAGGTTTTTGCACTTGCACAGGCTCTTTCACCACATCAGTGTGGTATTCTAACTGTTGTGTGTAGAGAGGAATGTGTATTGTTTCTGAAGTTGACATTTTCCTT